GGAACATAAGTAAGGATGACCTCTATTTTTATATGGTAATTGAAGTTAAACATAAGCAAACTAGGTGCAATTCAAATCTTCACTGGCAATCATTCCCAAAAAAACAAAACCTCACTAGACCAAGGACCATTGCTATGGGGATTATATTGTATAAGATAATGACTAAAGTAAGTAGCAATAGATTAAAAGACATGCTGATTCTTTAAAAAATTTACAATCATAATATCGTTTGAATAAGAAGAAATATTTATAATTATCCCAAAAAGGCTAAACTATTAAAATCGTAAATAAAGTGCACTAGCTATCATCATTAAACTCGTCAAACCAATATATCATAATGTTAATTATATTTTTCTATATGTTTAAAGAAAATAAACTTTGCAGAATAGTGTACAAAAAATTATTTCTATAAAATATGGATAACATGATCAATGAAATAATAAGTGGTATTTATAAAAAAAATTAATAAAGATATAAAATAAAACTGTCATATCTTTCTATAGCTTTATTATTGGCTGATTATAAATAACAATGCAATAATAATAAAGCCAAATAGAATGACTTTTCGAGATCTCAAAATTATATTTCATTTATTTATTTTTTTAGATCAAGGCATGTAAGAAGTAGATGCATAGTTAAATTATTATCAGATGAGCTAGTTATCATCATTAAACTCACCAAACTAATATATCTTAATGATAATTATATTTTTTTATATACTTAAAGAAAATAGAATTTATAAATTAAAATAAAAAAATTTATTTATATAAAATATAGATAGCATGATACATGAAATAATAAGTGGTATTTATAAAAAAAACGAATATAAATATATCATAAAACTGTTATATCTCTCCATATCTTTATTATAAATAATAATATAAAGATAGAATGCCTTTTCGAAACCTCAAAATTAGATTTTATTTTTTATTTCTTTCCCCGGGTCAGGGCATGTGAGAAGTAGATTCATAATACTATACTATATTATACTTAATTATATTGAAATAATTTTTTTAAAAAAACATAATATTCATAAAATATTATTTAATGACAAGTGGAGCTGATGACTGAAATGTGATCTGTGTTTATTCCATAATGTTCTAAAGAAATTGTACAAAGGGCCCAGATCACCAGATCAATAAACCAGAGACGTGGGTCCCGGTGGGTCCAACTGGTCTACGTGGACCATCCAGATTCACGAAGTAACGAAACGGCGAGGAGCGTGAAGGCACGAGGAAGGCACGCGCGGAACACAAGATGGACACGCGCGCGAGTGGCGACATGAGATAACGACCCAGGCCTTTTCAACGGTGACTTCGGCTCAAGTCAAGACAAAATACATAGAGCATGACCAACGCCGTTTCTCGTCGTTACACCAACCCGTATCACGTTAAGCAAACCCAATTATTTAACGTCGACAAAAGGGCGCGAAAATTAAATAACCTGTCAGACAGTGACGTTCGTCCATGCGCCTTTTAGGCGCGTGTCACCAAATACGTTCGTTTTCCTAATCCCGGGTCTGGGTCCGATGGAATCTCTCTGAAATTTACGGGTCGGTTCAACCCAGTTTCGAGCCCGATTGGCAAATCACGCGCTTGAGTTCCTTTATGTTGAACAACAGGAAGGAGATGAAGCATCATCTCACATGGCTTCTGGTTCGGTACAACGTCTCCATCGAAACCTTCGTGGCAAACCCTTTCATCCAAATAAAATAAAATCCAAGAGGAAAAAAATAATGCCCCGCGCTCTTCCAAACCAGAACCAGTAGACCAGAGAGAGAAATACCAGAGGAGAACTTCACAGTCGAGGTAACCTTAAAAACCAACTTCCCTTCCAATGCAACACCTTCCTCTCCCTGTTCGTCTCTGCCTACCGGTTCATGGTGTCTGTTGGCGCTGCTTCTTCAACGGATGGCCGGTGGCAATTTTCCACGAGTTCCACCGGACAAGGACCGGAAACGGCCGCCGGCTGTCCTGATAGTTGATGCGGCGGTCGTTGAGTCACCGGAGACTCTTTTCGGTGCTCGGTTGGTCGATGCTCCAATACTATTCTTAGTTTATTTCCACAAGGCTCTGCGAGCGGAAATCGCGGAGCTCCGACACGAGGCGGTGAAGGCGGCTGAGAGCCGGTCCCATTGCCGCGACTCTGTCGAGGAGCTTTTGCGACGATTTGAGTTCCTGAAACTAGTGTACAAGTATCACTGCGCTGCCGAGGATGAGGTTCGTACTCTCCCCTAGTATCTTATATCTCTGTTTCGTTGCTGACAAATGGAAAGAAAGGAGAAAGTCTGAACGAAGAAGAAGAATATGGAAATAATTTTGAATAATAGAAGCTTTATACAACTCAAATGTGTCCATCTTTGTGTGGTTTTAGTGCAATTACTGGTTCTGTTTATAGATGTATATAAAGAAGAGAAGAGGAGAATTCTTGTGATTTTCACCAAAGTTATTCACGTTCTCTGTATCTTTTTTCTTTAAATATCTTCATTTGATTTGGTTCTATTTTTTTTTTTTTGCAAAGCGAAAAAAAAATGAAAGAGAGATCATTAGAATCTTAGCTATAGCTGTGTAATAAACATTTTTCGGTTGTGGTAAAGTCAGGAATGAATCTAAGACTTCCTCTTCCTTTCGGTCTTTTTTTTTTTTTTTTTTTCTCTTTTGTTTAATTATAATCTCCTTCTGCGAAAGTCATTCTCTGCAACCGAACAGAACAAGTTTGGTTGTCAACACAATTAACCAAAGGGTTGTAAAGAACTCTAGTTACAAGTATATTAGATATCAAATTTTAGTTCTTAGAAATTCAATTAACACAAACAGATGCCAAAAAGATTACATAACAATATAAATCATCAACAAGTAAACCAGCTTCCCAATGAACTGATTGTGGAGAGCGCAAGAGATTAATAACACGTTGTGAGTCATCGGCTGAAAAAGAGTTAAATAATAAGAGTGGTAAATAAGGAATATAAATAACATTTCATCATATTTTTAGTCATGAAAATGCAAGAGACTGACGTATGTGTATGGCTTGATTCACGCTATGTCCCTAACAACTCTAATAGTTGACTTCTTCTCAGGAAAACTAATTGAAAATAATGAAAAAAAAAGTAACAAGGCTTGGTGAATTTGTATCACAATTCACACAGGTAGTCTAGACTAGTGGGCCTAAGGCAGTTCATATTTAGTAGCACTAATTCAGTTGTTTGTTGCCATTTCTTATTCAAATATCTGCACTTGTTGTTTTTTATGCAAGAGCTTAAGATGTTATTGACAATTGTTTCCCTGCTATTCATATGTTGAATTAAGTACTATCTAGCAATATAGTCATAAGGTATGAAGATTCCTAAGGCTTAAAGCAATACAAGCAAACACAAAGTTTTGTGATATATAATAGTCTATCCTTTTATTCTTCAATCGAGTCCAGAAGCACACATAAACTAGGTTGTAGAAGATGATTTCTCGTCCTCTCAGGTCCTTTGATATTTTTTTACGGCGAAACTAATAACATAAAACACAAGCAGAAATTATTCTCATTCTCAGGTCCTGATATTTCTCCCTTCTTTCGAAAGAACCTTGTCCTCAAGGCTTAGCTGCACAAACTTCCTTTTATGGCTCACTTTGTCACTTTGAAGAGGGTCACCATGAGGAAAAAAAATAGAACCTCCATCCATAGAGGCATGTGCAGTTGTCAACTATAATTGGGGATTTTCCTTTCTTGACACGTTTTTGCAGGTTGACTGGGACTCTTATCATTTTCACCTGCAAGAGATTCTCATTTTCTTCCATAAGGATCACTTTATAATCACTAGGGATCGATGTTGAGCTATCCAAGAGCCCATTAATTATCCGCCAAGTATTGCAACTTTTCTTGCTTGTCTTGGCATATGACCAAGATCAGTAATTCCAGGACTTCTCGAGGTTTCATGTTGAGTACAGTAGATGTAGACCAAGCCTTAAGGGGTGTCAAAGCATATAATTTCTCCAAAAGCTTCAGCTTCCTCTCATAGGCCAGCCCCGAAAAGTTTTAAACCAATTAAATGACATCCTCCATTCACACTTTTACCACCAACAGTAAGGAATTAATTTCTCAATGAAACTCCTAACTTCTTCACTTCTCTGTTCAACAGTCTCCAGCCCTCCCATTTGCACATAATTGACGATTCACTTGAGCTAAAGTCAAACATTATTTGTTTATAAATATAATAATTAGCATGCATTCGGTGTCAATTATTAAGGGAGTGCCGTTTGTCGTTTGCCGTTTCTGTGAAAGAGGTAGAAAGAGTCTGGAGACTTTAGGCCCATAAAGAAAGTCAGAAAGAGAGAGAAGAAGAGAGGCATCAACTGCTGTTTAGATTTCATTATGTATATATATTATAGATATTTATTTTTTACGGCCCGGATCTGTATGTACCAGAACTTTCAATCACAACATACTGGAACCTAGGACTGGACCATACCTAGTTAAATCGACTCCTCTCCAGAGTGGACAAACTTATCCAGTCCAATCTGGACCGAACACACTGGTCTTCTCCAGTTTTA